CCGCCGATCAGGGCGGGGGCGGCGGGGTGCCGCCGCCGCCACCGACCCAGCTGACCACGCACCTCCACAGTCCCGGCCGCAGGGAGCCGCCCCGCCGCCTGCTCCGCAGCGACGGCCGCCGGGTCTGACAGGCTCACGCACGCCGCGGCCATCCTCTCGCGCAGCTCATCGGCGGCCTGCGCCTTGGCGTCGAAGGCAGCTGCCATCCCCGCGCTGACGTCAGCACCGTACACGAACTTGGTGACAGGCGCCAGGTGCTGCGAGACGAGCCCGGTGCCGCACCCCACGTCTAGGCAGACCTGCAAGCCGAGGGGTGAGGCGGCGCTCAAGGTGGCGCTGATGGCAGCCGCGTGCGGGAAGCAGTGGCGGGGTCATGGCGCGCTGCTCATGCTGTGCGTCGGCTGGGGGCCTGCTGCTCGCCTTGTTGGTCAGATCGCCTGCAGCCTTGATGCACGCCGCGATGTCAGCCGCTGCTGCCACTAGCCAGGCCCTGGCGTCGTAGGTTGAGGCTTTTTGATCGAAGTGATCCTTGTTGGAGCGCTCCAGGGCGCACGCCGCCGCCATCACGACCGGCAGCAGCGTTTCTGTTGGAGTGCAGCAACCGTACTGATGGCACGCGGGATGCCTCAATGCTGGCGTGAGCCGTGCGGTGGCAGCTTCGAGAGAAGCTGCGATCGCAACGTGTCTGCTGATCGTGTAAACGTGTGTGAGGCAACGCGGGTTAAGCTGAATCAGAGGTACGGTAGCCTTTGCAGAATGACGACAGTCGTCGGCAGTACATTGTCAGAAACGACGGGGTGAGGAACTCTGGTTGCGTTTGAACTAGCGATGCCTGCGTCGATATCATATAGCGATTGGCCACGCGTAGCCAGTTGCTGATCTCTTGGACCTGGGGCAGCACAAGGGTGCGGTGTCGAGGTCCAGCAGGCGCGCTTCCCAACAAGTGAATAGCTTCCGCTTAATTCTGGAACCATGCGGCGTGCGGTGCAGCAGCTGGCCCTGAACGCCGGTGAGGGGCTGATCTGGTGCTTCATCGACGCAGCAGGCTTTATGGGGCAGTAGTCAGGATAGACGATGCCTGGTTAACGTCGCTGCGCACGCTGATGTGCATCAGCTTGCTTGCTCGTCGAGTTTTGGGTGGGGGGCTCAACCCTCGCGAGCAGGGCGGGGCCTCAACATGTTGCCTGACAAAGTTGTCACGATTAGCTTCGGGTCTGAACTGCAATGGATGCTGTTCAGCCAAGAGCAGGGTTGCAGCCGCGTGTGTGCGCTTGCGGTAGCACCTGGCACGCTGCTTGCTGGCACGCGTCTCGCGCCCCGACCGGCGGTTCTCGTTCCCCAACAACCGCGTGCAGCCCGCGGCATGGGGTCGGCGCCAGCGGAGCAGCAGCTGGGCGGCGCCGTGGTGGCCGCGGCGCGCGGCATGGCCGGCCACGGCCCCGCGCCGGAGGTGGTGCCCAACCCGCTGCAGAAGATCGTTCCCCCGGTGAGCGGCTGGGCCTGCAAACCTGTCCTGCTCCAGCGGCCTCATCGGCGCTGAGTTGCACAGCGCCTGCGCATGGCAGTGCGCAAGGGCTACATCGGTCATTGCGCAGGCGGCCTGCGGTAGAAAGCGTCGCAGCAGCGCACAGGCGAAGGGCCTCACGTGTGCGTCTAGCACAGCCGCTGCGTGCCACCGGCAAGGGCAGCATGGCACTGGGTGCGCCGCAGGCAGCGGCGGAATTTCCGCGGCACTCCTGCCGCAATGGTCGCCTTCGCCGCGGCGTCGCTGGGCGCGTCAGGATCCAGCTCCAGTTGGCAGCACGCGCAGCTGGAGCTGACGCGAACACGCTGCGCCTGCGCGGACGCTGCCAAACCAAACCTCTGCCCCTAGATCATCAGCGGCGTCAAGGCGGGCGTGGACGGCGTGACGAAGGGCATCCCTGCGGCGGCGGCGGCCATCGCCAACAGCGGCGCAACGCGCGGCGCCATCGCATACTTTGCTGACAAGGTGGGGGCTGGGTCAGGGGCCCTGAGGCGGTTTGGGTTGAAGTCAGGTCTGCCATTGGGCATGCTGCCAGGGAGCTGTGCGTTGCTGTACAGCAGGCTGAGCGTCTCAGGGCCGGCATCGCAGCGAGGATTTGAGGCGCCGGGCGCGGGTCTCATGCAGCTGTATCAAATCGAGTCGGAGCATTCGGCGCCTATTTGCGAGCCTAGCTAAAGGCTCACGGCCGGCCGGCCCGAGCGCGGCGACGCGCCGGGCGGGCCAGCCGCGACACGGCAGCCGCGCGGCACGGCGCGGCGCGTCGGGCGTCCGCTCTGGCGGGGCCCAGAACCCCCGCGCCCCGGCGAGCGGCGTCACCAAGCGCCTCCCTCGCGGTCCCCCGCGCTCCCTCCCACCACCCCAAAAAAAGGTCCTGCTGTCCGGCCTGGTGGGCACCCCCAGCGAGCTGGACTTGGCGAAGTGGGCGGCCTGGCTGGCAGACAACGGCTACGACAGCCAGGAGGGCTGGGCCAAGATCGTGGCCGGGGCCAAGGAGAAGTGAGCCCCGGGGATGACGCAAGCCTGGGGCGCGGGGGGGGGGGGGGGCGCGGCAGCTGCAGCCGACGCTTGGAGTGGGAGGCGGGGCAGGGCGGGCTTTGGTATCGAGCTGCGGGGGCTGCTGTGCCTGCTCAGCTTCGCTCGTTGCCGAGGTGCGTGCGACAGAACTTCAATGGCACCCTATTGACCGGACCGTACTACCGCCAACGCCGCCAACGCCGCCAACGCCGCCCCCGCCGCCGCCGCGTGCTTGCCTCTCTCTTCAGGCTGCCGACGCTGACGCCCGCGGACGTGTCTGCGCTGGTGCCGGCGCTGCACTCCCAGGGGCTCTACGACAAGGCCCTGTTTGAGGGCTTTGCCGCCATCATCCAGGTCGGCGCCCTCGCGTCGTCATTGCCACCAGCAACCCTGCAGTTGACAGCCCTTTGTTCCGCGGCAACCTTGCCATGGACATCACAGGGACACCCGGCGTCTCAGCCCGGTTGCTCACCTGCAGCTTCCCTTGTCCCCGGTGGCGCCGCGCCGCTGCGGCTGCCCCGGTTTCCCGGCCTGCAACGCTGCCGCACGCGCCCTCTCCCCCCCACATAACACCACGACAACCACTGCTGTCACCCACACTACTGCCCGGCGTCAATCACGGCGCAAACTCCTTGCCACACCCCTTCCGGCCCGCCAGGCCAAGTTCACCGAGTTTGAGACCCCCGCGCTGGCCAAGATCGTGGCGGCCTACTCTGACAACGACCACTTCGAGGTGAGTGCGCCCCGCATGGCGTCTCACAAATGCGTGTCCAGCGCCCCCCCCCCCCCGGGCTTCGCGCGATCCTGCGGCTGCGCCGCGTTTTTTTTGCGCGGCCCCCCGGCTGGGGCCCCCGGGCGACTCGGTCGGCCGGCCGCCGCCCGCCCTGTTCTCGGCGGCAGTGGGGCAACGGCGACCGTGCTGCCCTCGATCTGACCGCCTATTGCCAACGCGCCCCCCCCCCCTCACGGGACAGGTCGGCCTGTTTGACGACATCGCTGACTCGATCGCCTACTGCAACCACTACCTCGCGCCCACTGTCACGCCGTGAGCCCGCCCCCGCCCCCGCCGCGCGCTTTGCGCTGCCCCCGCCGCCCGCGCCGGCCTTGCCCCCCTCGTGCGGCGGCGCACATGCCGCGGCGGGGGGTGAGGCCCCCCTATGCGCATCTTGGGCCCTGCCTCTCCTGACATCAGTGATGATCAGTCATGATCAGGGTGATGATCACCGCGCTCCGCTCGCCCGCCGCTTCCGCCGCCGCCGCAGCCGCCGCACCAACCCTGAAACCCCACCTCATGTCGCGCAGGCTGCCGGACATTGCGGCGGTGTTCCAGGCGTACTCCAAGTTTGGCCACGACCGCGGGGACCTCTTCATCCCCCTGGCCAGGTGGGTCCCCGCGCGCATGAGCGCGCATGAGCGCGGCCGCGGCGCAAGCGCGTGCAGGGGGTGTGTGAGAGTGTGTGCATGTGCGTGCTCGCGGCGCGCTCGCTTGTTAGGCTGATCCCTTGGTACCACTTAAGCTGGCCACCCGGGCTCTTCGCCGCGGGCCCGTGCCATTGCAAGCTCCCTCCCGCGCCCGCACACGCGCGCACGCACATGCACGGGCGCGCACATGCGCACACGCACGCCCTCACGCTCGCATACCACACGAGTCGATGCACGCGTCCGTTCAGCGCCCCCTCCTCTGCGCTGGCACACCCACCCACGACACTCGCACACGTACACCCACACTCTCAGTCGCTGACCTCCCCCCCCCCCTGCCGCCCCACCCCCCCAGGGCTGTGCATGAGGACCGGCTGCGCGAGCTGAGTGATGCGGACCTCAAGGCCACAGTCAACGGCCTCCTGTCAGCCTTCATCAAGCTGCACTTCTGGCCGGGTGAGCGAGCGCGCGCGCGCCCCCCGCTGCGACGCCGGCCCTGCCGCCGTCGCCGGGGGTGGGGGCCGTGTGCGTGTGTGTGTGTGTGTGGGGGGGGGTGCTTGTTCGGTGAGCAGCTTAGCTAAGTTGCTCCTCTGGCCTTGAGGTAGCTTTCAGGTGCATCACATGTCATGAACACGCGGATATGCGCACGCTCGCAACCGCAGCGGCACACGCGCACACACGCTCACACAAGACGCACTCTCTCACACACACACACACACACACACACGCGCGCGCGCGTGCGTGCGCACGCGGACGCACACATACACACACATACACACACATGCGCACACAAGTGCGCACATCCACGCGCGCACACAAGTACAAACACCCGCACGCTCGCAAGTAAACACACGCGCGCCAACACCATCCTGCCGCCTCAGACTGCACTGAGGCGCTGCTGCTGATCGCGGAGCAGCGCCCCGGCGTGGCGGACGGCTCCATCGTCCAGGACGCCACCGCCAGGGTGAGCCTGGACCCTGTCTCCCACTGCTTTTGGACGTGGTTGCGATTGATTACAGCATCGCATCGTCTTAGCACGGTTGCCGTGGCAGCTGCTTAGGCTCTTTGGTGTCCACGCCCGCGGCTGTCGAGACACAGCCACCACCCCACGCGGTGTGTCCGACCACTCCCACCCATGCAC